TATAGAATGTCTTTTCTGCAAGAAAAATGAGAGTGAAAGAGCATTATTCACAGTATTAAGTTGTTAAAGGGGTCATCGGATGCCCATTTTCCACAAGTTGATATGATTCTTTAGGGTCTTAAAGAAAAGTCTATAACATACTTTGGTTAAAATTTCTCAATGGTAGTGTAAAAAACACCCGCTCTGCAGAAATCAGCCCGTTTTTTGCATGTTGCTTTAAATGCTAATGAGCTCTGCTGACCCCGCCCCTCTCTAGTGTGGGGTGACGAACCGTGCTCTGAGAGACTGTTTACTTGTTTAAAAACCTTGTTTACTGTTTAAAAACCCTTATACTCACTTCTGCTGTAAGTGAAGCTGGATCACGAATGACATAAACGCGCGAACATAAACTCATTTAGGTAGATCGGGGGCGCATTACCTTCACAAACAAAAGTAATCCACTGCGTCTTCAGCAGCTCTGATGTCGGGAGTAAATGACAACTGCTATGTTCATTATTACATCCAACAACAGAACACCTCAATTGCTATGGAGCCATTCTTGTCTACATCGGCTCCGGCGTCGAATCAGTGGTGGTCAGACTGTTACAGCTCACTCAGGGCGGGTCTAAGGTAAGACGGCTGTGTCATTACACAGTAGACATTACTATCCGTCAAGCAGGTAACGTTATTCTTGCTAACATGGCAGACTCATCGAAAAAAAACATTGGCATCCTCTGTATTAAAGAGAAAATAATCACTTCATCCGATGTAAGTGAATAAAATAGCCTTGACAGCCTTGGAATTCCACAACTATTGACTTTGTTCTCGCTCACTGGACTTGTGTGTGTGTGTGTGTAGGTGATGCAGGGTTGGCAGGTTTTCGCAACAAAACCTGCCCTGTTGCTACTCAAAACTAGCCCAAAACTAGCCCAATCGCGTTTCGAGGGGGGTTCCCCGGTAAAAAATAAATAAATCATGTTCCGGGGGGTAAAATACACGTTTTTCGGCGGGGTTCGTATGGTAAAATTCGCAAGCGTTATTGGGGTCTCTTCAACCCATGGACATGAAAAACCCGCGTCAACAGTGTTAAAGTAGCCCAATAGGTAAAATAGCCCAACTTGGCAACACTGAGGAGATGTAAAAGAGGAAAGCAGGCAATTGGACCAAAGCACTGTGAGGCAAGGGAGGGGAGACTCAAAATGTTTCTAAACTTAAAACCCATTTTTCCCCATTTGCGTTTGTGTTGTTTTACTACTTACAAAGTTATTTAAAGTATAAAAGGTTATTTACAATACACAGCGTGGTTTTTAATCATATTTGAGGGGGGACAACCCAAAATACTGCATTCTGGATTTCTGACCATTGAAAAAGGGGATATTATACTTAAGGAATAAATAAATAACACTGGGTGGATTTTTATCATTATAGGTTAGATGTGTGCACACACTGCTAACACGCATTTATGTTAAAACAACATGTAAAAGTGAATTTAGCATCCGATGACTCCTTTACATTCCCTTTTTTTATCAGTGAAATGCTAGCTGATACATACTAAAAATAAACACACATATATATACAAACCATATTACATTTACATCACATTTTAAACGTGTTTTTATTTGTAAAGAGAATGTAAGAATTTGTGTGTGTGTGCAAAAGAATGAGGTTGTGAGCTTGTGTGTGTATGTGTGTTACATAAGAGGTGTAAAAATAGACCCAGCTCTGCACCATTCCTCTTAGTTGGCTGCTCTCGCACGCACACTGCTTCACCGTACCCACAGGGCACACACAACAGTGCTCTGAACAACCCCTCAAACACATACACTCCCTGCATTATACACACTCAAATTCACAAACATACACAAACTCACTAAAGCTTCACACATGCACCTTCACAACACAAAAGGTGGACGTACTCCATCAACTTATCATCAACAAAACAATAGCCGAACTTCCTTTATAAAATACCTTACACACGTCAATTTGTGTCTTCTTGTCGGCATACATTTGAGCCTCCTCAGTGTTTAGAAGTTGTTTTTGTCCACAAACACTGAGAGGCACTTCGGTCACAGAAACGCAAGCCACAGAGTTCGTGAGTAAAAGTGATAAACCAAGCAGACTAAGATTCAGAGCCATCAGTGTGACACATGATTGACATTTTGTGTGACAGTGAAAATGTAGCTTTTGAAAGACACTGAGAGATCTCTGGTGTCAGTTCACAGGCTTCACATCACAAACACACTGTTGATATTTTATCATTTTAATTTTAAGGGATATTTCACCTACAAATAAACTTTGTCATGATTTACTCACCCTCATGTTGTTTCAAACCTGTGTTCCGTTCACTCTCTGGGAAAAAAAGGTACAAAATCTGTCACCAGGGCAGTACCTTTTTTAAAACCTACACCTTTGTACCTTTTAGGTACTAATATGTGCTTTTTAGGTTATTTGAAATTGAGAGTGTTGTATACTTTTTTCTCTTACAAGAATTGTTGTAAGAGCAAAAAGCACCAAGAAATATGATTCATGTTTCGATGATAACCGAATTCTATAATGTTTTGAAAAGTTAAATCAGTCATTTTAAATGCTTTAAAAAGGTTACATTTAAAAAAGTATTATTTGTATTTAAATAGTAATTATTTTACTATTAAATTATAGTGTTTTTAAAGATGAATTTACATGACAAGAAAGGTAATTTAATTGAATGTCCAATATCAACCAGTACTGAAAAAAAGTGACTGATGACGGATTTGGTATTTAAGGATTTTTAAAAATGATAGTAACAACACAGTTTTGGTGACCATTGACATCCACTGTTCATCCTTTCTTTTGTGTTCTACAGAAGAAAGTAAGTTACAGGTTTGGAAAGACATGAGGGTGAGTAAGTAATGACCATTTCCATTTTTGGGTGAACTATCCCTTTAAGTAACATCTGTGTTTATTTCTAGTGACTTGAGAACTAATATCCCTCAAGCATTTTCAAAAAACCTGAACAGTAATAAATATGTGGTTTTCATCTTATCCTTCATTCAGTCTTCCAATCTTTTTTCCCCCTCCTTTCTCGTCATCCCACCAGGAGAGCCACATAAGTGCTGATATTTGAAATGTCTGGATTGGTCAAAGCAGCCTTAGAGGATTGGTATCTGTCTGGATGATGCTGTGTGTGTGCTTTCACGTGCGTGTACAGCTTATTCACTCACAAGTACACATAGTAACTCTTTCCTTTCTTCCCTCCTTCTAAAGCAAAGGGTGACGCTTCTTGACCTCTGCATTAACAGAAATAGTTTTCCTGCGGGAGAGCCATGTTATGGAGAGAGAGAGACTGCGTGTGACATTTATGGAGTCAGCTTCTGTCCAGCTCTCTGCTCTCACCCTGTTTGTGCGCTGACGACACATCTGCAGCGTTCTCCACTCTCGGTTCATGTGCGCCGTTTGTGTGTTGAGAGGAGAGATTCTGTATATTATTCAGCTTGGAACAGGGAGGATCATCAATAATAACTAAGCACTGTGATGGAGGCTGAAAAAAGAAGCGCTCCTGTCTCGGTACATTGAGTGCTCATCGTTTCCTTTTAGTTTTTAACTCCTTTTTTACTCATATGAGACGAGGTAGATTTCAGGGTTTTGATATTCAGTGACACTAAAAAGTATTTGGCCACTTAAACCACAGTTAAAAATGTCTGAATGGCATTGCTAAATGTAATAAAATATCTAACTAAGAAGATTTTATTTTAAACGAATAGTACTTTTTGTTTTGTTTTGTTTTAAATGCATTACCTTTCAGAAGTTTGGGGTCAAGATTTTTTAATAATTAAATAATACTATTATTCAGCGATTCAATTCATTAAGTGTCAGTAAATGCATCCATAATGTTTCAAATGATTTCTATTTCAAATAAATGTTGTTTGTTCAACTTTCTATTCATCAAAGAATCGTGAAGCAAAATATGTAATGGTTTTCACAAAAATAATAAGCAGCACAGCTGTTTTCAACATCGATAATATTAAGAAATGTTTCTGGAGCACCAAATCAGCATATTAAATTATTTCTCATAGATCATATGACACTAAAACTAGAGTAATGCCTGCTTAAAATTCAGCTTCATCACTGGAATAAATTACATTTGAAAATATATTCAAATAGAAAAAAAAGTTATTTGAAATTGTAATAATAACACAATCTTAATATTTTTGCTGTGTTTTTAAATAAAATCAGCTTTGGTGAGCATTAGAGACTTATTTCAAAATATTAAAAAAAATCTTACAAATCCTATACTGTTTAAAATGTAGACTAAAAGTGTGTGGACAGTGACACTGGTTGTCAAATGTAGGTGGATCGTGTCCATAGTTAGTTAATAATACACCTGTTTTAACGGACTTTGATCCACTAGGTTTTTAAAAGTATTTGCAAAATGTCTCAGAATAGTTCCTTCATCATTTGTTTGCAGATGGTAAATGTTTGGTTGGATATTCTGCCTGTGCAGTGGCAAGTGTTAATTAAGTGTCCAAATCCAAATTTCTTTCTAGAAACATTTTCCACTGTAACTTGGCTGTGTGATGTGTTTGGTGGCTGTGATGACACTCAGGCCTCAGGGTCACAGGGAAGGTCAGTGACTGTCGCGTTGGCACTTTGGAGGATCAGCCAATCAGAATGCAGTATTTTGGCCTTTGAAGAGAGCGCTACAGAGAGCTCATGGCAAGATGGCCGACATCCAGTTCTGCAGAAAGATACAAGAGAGACAATAAATTCACTGTGGAGGAAAATGACAAGGGAATACTGGAAAACACAAAAATGTTTCCATATGTTAACAAGGAGGAAATTATTCAAAGACTGCTATTTTTTTTCATATTTTCTAACCTTTTTTTGCAGCAATATCAGAACATAATTGGATGTTGCTTGCTAATAGAAACGTCATTAAAAAGACTGATGTATGCAGTGACAGGACTGCAAATTCCTGGGGTGTGAGTTTTTTAAAGGGCTCTAAAGCATTTATATATATGTGTGTGTGTTTGTGTATTTTTTAGGAATGGCACAGGGGAATGATCATGGCACACAGTATCGTTCTGCCATCTACACCTACAGCCCAGAACAGCAAGAGCTGGCCATGAGAAGCAAGCATATGTACCAGGAGGTGCAGTATCTCAAAACACACACAAACTTTCCTTTGAATTCTGTTGCTTTATAATGAATTAAGGATATTTTCATAACCCTTAGTCCTACCCCGTTCAAACTTAACCAAACTTAAACGTTCTTTATTCTTAGATTTTCCTTAAGATTTTATTATTACTTATGTTTGTTTTTTTTTAAGATTTAATTTAGCTAATCTAAATGAGGACATATCATAGACTTTTATTGTTTTTAGTTCAAAATAATTATTTTACAAGAAGCCATACAAGAGAAATATTTGCATTTTTAGGATTTATTTACTTTTATTTATAAATCATTTTTACTATTCTCATTCATGGTTCATGTCATTTTTCTATATTATGCGTTAGAGGGGACATTAGTGAGAAATAAGGATACACTACCATTCAAAGGTTTAGGGCCAGTAAAAGAAATTAATACTTCTATTCAGCAAGGATGCATTAAATTGATCAAAAGTTACAGTAAAGACATTTATAATGTTTCTATTTTTGAATAAATGCCATTTTCAGACAATAATTTACAGCATTGATGATATTGAGCACAAAATCAGCATATTAGAATGATGTCTGAAGACTGGAGTAATAACTCCTGATAATTCAGCTTTGCCATCACATGAATACATTTCATTAAAAATCTAATAAAATGAACAAATTTAAATTATAATGTTTTACAGTGTTACTGTTGTTACTGTAGTTTTATTGTATTTTTGATCAAATAAATGCAGCCATTGTGAACAAAGTTCTTTAAAAAAAACTTAGAGACCCCAACATTTTGAACAGTAATGTACATAAATGCGCAATTCAATTTAGTTCATAAAATGTAACCACAGTTGAAATCCACTGATTTTCTTTTTACCCCATCACATCTCCAGAAGCTGTCTCATTTCCAACCTCTCTTTTCCATTCTTTGCCGCTTTCAAACTGTCCACTGTCAAACGCTGACCGCCCACACCTGTCAGAAAGATGCGCTTGTGGATGCTCATGAACGCAGCTCATCTGGATGGCTGGACTGTTATCCCTGTCAAACTAGTGTGATGATGCTTTGTTTTGTGAGATGCAGGAGCTTGGGTAACCATCCCTGCGGTAACCCTTTGCTCCTCATGTCATCGGTCTTGCTTCTAAGGGCTCAGATGTGATTTGGGGGTGAGGGGAATGAGGCGTGGACAGGGAGCTTGGGTGACCCCTATTGGCCTTGGCCTTGTGCGCATCAGGGTGAAAGGTCAGGTTTGCAGGAGGCAGCTGTGGTTAAAGGGACACAATCAGATCAGGGGATCGTAACGGACGTGCTGTTGATGGCCCCAGTGACCCCACAAGCTGAAATGTACACAAACACACAGATATAGTGAGGCAGAAGTGGTTGCACCCCACAGACTGCATGTCAGCAGGGGTTAAACTGGGCCAGAGCACTGTTAAGGCACCTTCAATTAAAAATGTAATAAATAAATGTTGGTTCAGGTTGGTAGGATTTCTTAAGAAGTCTCTTAAGCTGACCAAGGCTCCATTTATTTGATCAAAAATTCAGTATAAACAGTAATGTTGAAAAATAATATCACAAAATTCATAATAACTTATAACGTAATTTATGCCTGTTATGGCAAAGCTGAATTTTCAGCAGACTTCAGTGTCACATGATCCTTCAGAAATCATTCTGATATGCTGATTTGCTGCTTAAATAACACTTCTTATTATTGTCAATCTTAAAAAGAGTTGTGCTGCTTAATATTTTTGTGGATAAGTAAATCCTTTATGAATAGAAAGTTCAAAACAAATGTTTATTTGAAATATAAATCTTTTGTAACATTATGAATGTATTTACTGTCACTTAAGATCAATTTAATACATCCTTGCTATATTATTAATTATATACGTATTAATTGCTTAAAAATAATAAGTATGTTTTGAGAACTGGTATTGTAAATTCTATCTGGAGTGTTTTGTATGGTATGTGAATGTTGTACAGTAGGTGATATTACATGCAACATGAAGATTTTTGTGTAGAACGAATGGCTCCAGATCGCATGAAATCTATTTTAAATGTGTTTATTAAAAGGGCTTCACATTTCTCAGACTTCATAGCCTTTCCCTGCAGTTGATGCTTGATCTCTCTCTGTGGGCATAGCGAATCAGAAGTGGTTTCGAAGAACGGCTCGGTTACATAAGCAGCCGTGATGAGATTAGACATGTTAGTCCAGAGTCTTGCTCAAATACAGAGGAGCGGACGTGTGTGTGCATCCGTCATACTGTGGAAAAGCACAGCTGATTGTCTGGCAGTGGAGAGTGAGAATTTGAAGAGGGACACTGAAATGAAAGACAGACGTGATGAGTGTGAAGAGATTGATGAGGCCTTTTTGAGGACACTTCCATCAGGTCAAATTCAGGTGATGAATCAGGCACCGACATCACACGCAGACGGGAAATGAATTATTAGCATCCATTGAGAGTTGCACTCCATCAGAGTCTCCCAAAACTCTGCCATCAGTGAGGGCAGTCAGGGAGAAGGAAATGCGGGAGTGGGAGAGGAAGAAGCACTCTTTTAAGCGCTGTGGTTGAGGAGGGGAGGGGTGCTGTAATAAAATGTAGGAATTTGCAGAACATCAAAGAGTTTTTATTCAGTAGTGAAAGGGAGCGAGACGCAGGAAGATAGAGTAGAGGTACAACTCTGCTGCAGTGAAGCACTTTCTCCGAGGAGTTATTTTGGGGATTTGAATGGAAGTTTATGAATTTTCTTTGTTTATCTACTTGTGTTATGTTACAGACATCAATATATATATATATTTTTTTTTTTATGGTTATGTTTTGGGGGGGTTGAAATTCATCTCTTCATGGCCCAGATTAAATAATGTTGAGAGATGTTTTTTTTTTTTAAAGAAAAAGTCAATGCACAAATGTGATGTGAATGTCAAGATTTTGCGTGTTGATATTATTTATATTTTCATCTTGTGTGCAATTTAATGCTTTTATATTATTCCCAATATTTAAAAAAGTTATCATAATTATTCATCAAAAGTAAAATTGTCAAATGTAACATTTAAGTAAAAAAGCATTTTTTATGAAAAGAATGTAGCACCTACATATGTCTTGTTTTAAAATTAATTATTATAATAATATTGTTTATAGTCTTTTTTTTTTTTCGACCCCTTTATAATCCATAGATAAGCAAAATAAAGAGTTTATGTAAAATATCACTTTCTCTTTGGCTCAGACGATCAAGTTTTTTTTATTTTCCTTTTGGAATATCCCGTATCATTCTGGGACATCAGTTTGTGGAAGAAAAATTAGTTTTTAATGGCATTTGACATTGACTTTAAGAATAAACAAACCAAATGTGCTCTAGAGCCATAAGAAAATGTAGCTTTTGATCATTTTAAGCATGTTGGCTGATTCTGATAATGAAAAGGGCTGTATGATAATCATAAATGTAGTAGTAACAGGCCTAAATAGACTGACTTTTCATCCAAAATGTTATTCGCTGGTGTTGCCTATAGCTCAGGTTCCATCTAAAAACAAAATCTCTCTCTGTTCCATGTCATGTGATCTCACACACATAGACGCTCATGCTCTCACACTTTGATCGGTCTCCTCTCACAGGTCACATGACCGTCTGCTGCCTTATTCCCTCTCACAAAATGCAGGAACAGCCAAGGATGACAAAATGGATTCCTGACTATATCTTATGCACACACACACTCATGCTTACATGCAAACTAAGCATGTGTGGAGATGTGCGTAAATGCACAGAACATGCAAAGATCAGCCTTGGCCTTGGCCTTTGCACTGTTTTTTTTTTTTACAGTATGCCTTCTTCCTCGTGTATGTTTGGACTAAAGTTAATCACACACATACAGTATATATAGATGTATATGTACACCTACACATGCTTTTCTGTTGGTGCAGCAGAACTATACAGCTTATAATATTTGAAAGATGCTGTAGCTTTTAGCAGAGACTCTAAACAAGAAACAATAAGCTAGCTCGCTAAGCTAAAACTGTATCACCGTTTCAGGAATTTTGAAGTATAGCTTTTTAGTTCATATATATATATATATATATATATATATACGTATATACACATACTATAAATGGATAAATATGTATGTAATCATAATTTTCTCACACACTGGCGCCTTTTTTTTTTCTTTTTTTTTTGTATGCTCTGCTTATCAAGTTTTTGGTTCTCTTTTTATGCACACCTGGCTAAATGTTCTTTGTGTGTTCATCTTCCTGTTCACTGTAGCACGTGTAACCATGTAATAATCCTATAAGGTAATTCTCATCTTTTTTGCCTTCTAAATATACTAATATCAGAGAGATCATTTAAAAAAAATAAAACAAATGGCAAATGTTGGCTTTATGTTGTTGTATAGGTATCTTTGTTTTTCTGGTGTCCATGCTGCTGTTAGTATCTCATGGTGTTATGATGCAGATGCAGCCTCTTTTGTTAAACATGAAATCAGAAGCAACTGAAGCAGACTTTTGTCACCACCTAGTGGCTGAGATCTGAAACTACATACATTTCAAAAAGGGCAGTTGTGATTGCTCAAAGCCAGCACATAAACGCTCCCCTTTCTTTCTTTCTTTCTGTTGTAGAGACACCTCACTCAGTTCTACATGTGAGCTTTAGAAATACTGTGATTGATGTTCAAAGGTGTTTTGTTCTGTCTGTTTATAATAGTAGCACACACACTCATGCTTACATGCAAACTAAGCATGTGTGGAGATGTGCGTAAATGCACAGAACATGCAAAGATCAGCCTTGGCCTTGGCCTTTGCACTGTTTTTTTTTTTTACAGTATGCCTTCTTCCTCGTGTATGTTTGGACTAAAGTTAATCACACACATACAGTATATATAGATGTATATGTACACCTACACATGCTTTTCTGTTGGTGCAGCAGAACTATACAGCTTATAATATTTGAAAGATGCTGTAGCTTTTAGCAGAGACTCTAAACAAGAAACAATAAGCTAGCTCGCTAAGCTAAAACTGTATCACCGTTTCAGGAATTTTGAAGTATAGCTTTTTAGTTCATAGAAAGAGCTGCATTAATATTTATTATTTATGTTGTTATGTTAAAAGTAGGCCAAGCTGTTGCAGTTAAAATGTACACAGGGAATGTGTGTGTTAACATGAGCATGTGCATGTGTGTGTGTGTGTGTGTGTGTGTGTGTGTGTGTGTGTGTGTAAATAAATAGTCTAATATATAAGATGAGTTTGTGCTCACGGAAATATAAATGGAATTAAATCTAATGGGAAAAATAAGGGAATTCTGGTAGCAAAGCATACTAGAAAATGGTTAGACTAATAGTAACATACATTGGTGTGTGTGTGTGTGTGTGTGTGTGTGTGTGTGTGTGTGTGTGTGTGTGTGTGTGTGTGTGTGTGTGTGTGTGTGTGTGTGTGTGTGTGTGTGTGTGTGTGTGTGTGTGTGTGTGTGTGTGTGTGTGTGTGTGTGTGTGTGTGTGTGTGTGTGTATATTTGCAGATGCAGGAACACTTAGTGACATTAGTTGAGTCATCAGAGTCACATGAAGCATATTCAGATATGCAAATGCTTATGTAATATCTCTGTCTCTCTCTTTGCCTTGTTTCTCTGTCTCTCTCTCTCTCTCTCTTTCTGTCTCTCTTTGCTTGACTGTCCACAGAAATGTTCTCCACCAGAGAGACACAGACCACTGAGCTTTGACAGCGCCAGCTTTCTGACACCATATCCACACACACATCAAATTTTTTCCCAAGATCATACTTCCTCCCTTTTTAATGCACACTATTTAAAACAAGTTGCAGGGCTCAACAATATGGATTTTCATTTCTGCTGGCCCATTCAAGCCAATAGTTTAAATTTGCACTTGACCTTCCAATAAAGGCCTAGCAAAATCAAGAATGAAAATTAAGAATTATTTTTTTATTTGTATTTTTAAAGAAATTTAATTAAAGAGATTTTTGTGTCCGAGTTTTTTTATTTATGTGTTTATTTAAGAAATAAGGGGGGTGGGGGGATATAAAAAAATTGCTGTTGAACATTTTGACATTTTTAATGGATTCTGATAATGAAAAGTGCTGTATAACGATTAAAAAAATTATTTATTTATATTAGTATCTCATGGTGTTATGATGCAGATGCAGCCTCTTTTGTTAAACATGAAATCAGAAGCAACTGAAGCAGACTTTTGTCACCACCTAGTGGCTGAGATCTGAAACTACATACATTTCAAAAAGGGCAGTTGTGATTGCTCAAAGCCAGCACATAAACGCTCCCCTTTCTTTCTTTCTTTCTGTTGTAGAGACACCTCACTCAGTTCTACATGTGAGCTTTAGAAATACTGTGATTGATGTTCAAAGGTGTTTTGTTCTGTCTGTTTATAATAGTAGTACCTAAAACCTTTTTCTGCTGGAGTTTATGGATGCGGCCCGTAGAGGGAGACAGAACTTCATTCATGTCCCTTTGAAACAGTTTTGGACATTCTGTCTGGTTTTTACATCACATACACAAGAAAGAGTTGTTTCAGTTCAAAATGAGTTGCTTCTCCCAAGACAGTGATCACATTTATCCTCTTCATATCGAAATGTGTCGTCATTTACTGTCTCTTTCTCTGTGTCTGTTCCTGTTTCGTCTTTTTGCTAGGCTCTAACTAAGAAAGGCCTGGGTGAGATCACCACTGAGATCCGAGAGCACACTGAATTTTACTATGCTGAAGACTATCACCAGCAATACCTGCACAAGGTGCCTAAAGGATACTGTGGGTTAAAGGGCACCGGTGTCACATGCTCTATTGGAGGAGAGAAAGGTGAACTCTGACTCGGGGCACTCAGACATTGTATGCTATTTTAAAGGGATACTTCACAAAAATGAGTATTATGTCATTGATTCACCCTCATGTTGTTCCAAACCTGTATGAATTTCTAAGAATTTATTTCTAATATTCTTCTGCATCAACTAAAATGAAGTTAATATATAGCCCATAACAAAGCATTTTCATTACTTTAAAATAAATTTAACTGTAATTAAATAGAATGTTTTTAAAAATGAAACATTTTATTTCAGGTAGTCTTTTTCAGCTAGGCAACATTTCTTATTTTTGTTTAGTTTAACTTGAAGTACTTGAATAGCTAAAAATAAATAATATAATTTTAACAGACATTTTAAAAAGAACAAATACGCATGAAATTTGTTACAACTTTAAGAATAAAATGTAAAATATTTTTAAAAAATCAAATTCAAAATATTAGCAAAGATATGTCCATTTATAATGTCAATATTAAAATAATATAATATAATAATAATACATAATATAATATTAAAATAATTGTGCTGTATTGCACAAAAAAGATATTTTGGTTGCTCTTTTTCTTGCAATTACTATAAATGTGGACTGTAGCTTTCGAGCTTTAAAAAGGAGGTCCCTGTTTCTTACCCCAAAAAATCGTATGACTTAAAAAGAATATAACAAGTCATCTGAATTTCACTGTGTTTGTAATGCTTGGAAGCTTTGTTTTTGTGCCATGAAAGAAATTCAAACCTTTTTTTATTAATGGGTGAATTACTCCTTTAACAGGGGAGTGGTGTGTTTTGCAAATGTCTTATTTGATCCATGTATAAAAAGACACGTACATGTGTATGTTTGTACAAACTGTGTATCAAATCTATTTTTCTGTGAGTCTGTGGTACAAGTTGGACTCCTAAAGCCAACAGCAACCTTCTGCCAGTGATATTTCCTCAAGCTAAATCTGTCACACTGTCTGCTCTAGAGCATCTGCTGTGTTATGCTCTGGCCAATCTCTGATCTCTATGGGCATTACAGTTCTGCAGCATTCTAATACATCAACCCCTGATTTAAAATACAAATGACAGATTCTGCCTTATGGAAACATGAATTACAATGCTTGCTTGTACACAAGACTGTTTACTTAACTCTATTTTAGAACAAACACAATCATATTACACAATATTGTGTAATAATTATTCAGGGAAAATTCTATATTTTTTCTTCATTGAGCCGTCGAGTTGCACATGTAATGCCTATATACCACTAGGTGTCAGGACATGTAAATATAAAAAACATGACTCTAAATCTACTGTAGATTAAAGGAGGTGGAAGATTGTAATTTCTGTGCCACCAGCATCACCAAACAGAACTGCAGAAATGACTAGAGAAGGAAAATTGGTAATTGCGTTACAGGTTGAAATACTTTGTACGTGTGAAGTGAGACTTGAAAGCTGGAAAATCTGTGGTTGCTAGGGTGTAATTAGGCAGTTGGTTTCTAGATGGCTGATAAATTTTTCTGGGTGGTTGTGGGGGCATTTAGTTGATGTAGCCTGAAAGCTTTAGGAGGAGTTAGAGATGAAATTTTGATCTCACACTTAAAAATTAATTATTTTGTTTTTTTATGACAGCAGTATATTGATCAAATAAAAAACAGCCTGTTGACTTTCATTGTATTATATATATTAAAAAAAAAGTAAATAACTTTCATCATCAATAACTTTTCTATCTATTGCTTTATTATTTGAAACCTAACAAAATGCTAAGATTGCTATATTCATTTTTATATTATACATTGTAGGTGTGTATTAAAAGTATATTTTAATTCATCCCTGTGATTATTTGAAAAAAAAATTTTGTTGAAAATTTGAAACGCTGAACTCCATTGACTTTCACTGTATGGGCACAAAAACAAAATTTTCAATATACCCTCTTTTGTGTTCCACACGAAGCAGAACGCAATTTGTACTGGTTTGGAATGAAATGAGGGTGAGTAAATACTGAAAGATCTGTTATTTTGATGTGAACTATACCTTTAAAACCTGCTATAAACGGGTTACTGTAAATATGTCGGTTTCACACCTCAGCTGTGTAAAGCGCTACACATGAGTCAGCTGCTCATTTTAGAAAATGAAAAAGCTTGACAACAAGCTGATCTGCTGACTGGCCTGAATAGAGCTGGGTAATTATATGGTGATCTGTCCAACTTAAGCAGCAGTACCTGCTCTAGTTTACCTCAATGCTTAGTTGAATATGAAGTACTAATGAACTGGGCCTGGCTTTGGCTAAAGTTTGGGTGATATCTCGTACATGGACTCAAGTGCACAGTGAGTTCTAGTGGTTCTGGAACAAAGGCCATGTGCTCTAAAACTGGATCAAAATGTGGTAGTCAACAGAACGGAGGATTCTGGAAGCCTCTTGTGGTGTGTTGTCGTCTGCTCCTCGGCTGATGATGTCACTGTGTTATCTGTCATCTCTGACTGTGTCTCTGGGATGAGACGCACACATGATTCACACAGCACCTGTATGAGGAGACAGATTTCTGGGAAATGATACATTCATCTTCACACTCCCACATGTGTGCTATATGCACCTACCTGTGTTTTCACCGCCAGACGTACATAAGGGTTATATAAACACATTTCTGCTATGCATGGATCCCACTTAAACACAAACATTGGCGAAGTTCAGTTTACCAAGATTTGGTCAAATTATCATACAATGGCTCCAAAAAGTAATTTGTACATCTAAAAATGTCTGAACATCACTGAAATAACTTTATTTTTCTCGTAGATTATTTGAAACCTAACAAAATGGTTAGGATCTTAATTTTCTTCATTTAAAATTTAAGTTATGATTAGGCGCTTGCAATGAAAGTGAATGGGGCCCATCTATAATTGTTAGAATATGCATTGTTTCGAAAGTATATCCAAATCGACAGACAAATCAAAATAATTTTTTGTGGAAAACAACAATGTTTGAGCTTAACTTTTGATCCTGGAATATTTCTTTAAGTGTCCAAAAACACTGCTGTATATTGTCTTGAGTTGAATTACTATGTCCAGTACAGCCGCAAATATACCTACATACACACACAGGTGTGGTGGCATGTTCAATGAACCAGACACACACACGCTTGTGCGCACACACTCTGACACACTGACAAATCTAGAAAAAGCTTTTTTGTTGACCGCAGTCTGATTTCCTCTGCTCTATTTTCTCTTTTCTTTTCTTTCTCTTTGTGTCTGTCTCTTCCTGACACCTGTGTGTAGGTGTGGACCGTGCTGCAGGTGCTCAGTGTCTCTCTCTCTCTCTTTGGTTTTCTCTATCTGTCTCTCTCACTCTTTCTCAGTCTCTTCCTCCCCCTCCCTTTATGAGGTTATTTCGGTATGATGGTGATATTTTTTGCATTTATGCACACGTTTCTGTTTGGCTTGTATGTGCCACATCGCTATAAAAATCAGCTTGACTCTGGGTATGTCTCTTTGTGGTTACTGCTGCCTACCAATCTAATAGATCAGTGGCTGATTCTTAAAACTGAAAAAGTATGTTGCTGGAAAAACGGCCTCACTCATATCTCAGAGAAATTAACTATATGTGGGACAGTGGTTTAGCTCTCTTTAGCTCTTTATGTGGCTGATGGTGTACAGACAGGGTCTAAAATAAACTAATTCAAGGAAAAACTGTTCATATAAATTGTATTATGTTGTGTTATCTGTTATAAGCTGTGCTGTGTTGTGATATTATGTCTTTGGTTATATATTGTGATGTGTTATATGTTTTTGTGTTGTTACGTGTTGTTATTTGCTGCCTATTATTATCTGTTGTGTTCTGTTTTATATGTTGTTGTTAGGCCTATATGTTATGTTATATCCTTTGTTGTTATAAATTGTGATGTTATGTTCAATGTTGTTGTGATGTTATGTGTCACATCATTAGCTTTGTTGTGTTAAAGGCAGAGTAAGCGATTTCTGGTAGCCAATGTTGATATTTGAAATCACCAAAACAAACACGCCCCTACCCCAAAAGGGTCTTGCCCCTATTTTGATAGCTCCGCCCCACATATACGTCGTCCAGTGTACTAGACAGACTTTAGCTGTTGCGGCGCAGACACTGTGTTACTCACCTATTGAGAAGAAACAAAGCAACCTCGGCGTCCGATTGCAGGCCTCCGCTCCTTGAGTTCTCTCCAGCACTGGAAAGCTGATCCAATATTTTACACGGGTCCTACTTCTTGCCTTATCTTTCCGCAGACGTTTTCCTCTTTTGTTTTTTTATCCGCCATCTCTATCTTTCTGTCGCTCGGCTCGGCTAATGTCCGTCCCATGCACTGAAAGCTCTCTCCTCCACATCACGAGTAGACACGCCCCTTATTGCTGATTGGCTACAAGTTTGTTTTGCTATTCGGCCCGAATCAGTTTTCTAAAGTGTTTTTGAAAAATCACATACCCTGCCTTTAAGATGTGTTATATGTAGTTATGCTGTTATGTGTCATGTTATGTGTTATGCTAGGTTCAGTGTGATGTGTTGTTATTTGCTGTTCTGTTTGATGTTGTGTTATTATGATATGTTGTGTTATATGTTTTGATGTGTTGTGTCTTTGTGTGATTTTCTGTTTTATATTGTTATATGTTATGCTGTCTGCTGTGTTGTATTATTGTGTTCTGTTAGGTTATGTATTGTGATGCGTTATGTTATATGTTGTGTTCTGTTATTTGTTCTGTTAGTGTGCTGTTGTGCTATGTTAGGTTATATATTGTATATTAAATGTTCTATGTTTTTGTGATATGTTATGAATGTGTTGTTATTTGCTGTTTTGTTTTGTGTTATGTTATGATGTGTTGTGTTTGGTTATAAGCTGTTTTGTCTTGTAATTTGTTGTCTTATGTTATATATTGTGATATGTTGTTATTTGTCGTATGTTTTTGTGATGTTATGTTGCTGCTCTGTTTATTTATGTTACGTTACGTTACGTTACGTTACGTTACATGTTGTGAACTGGACCATTCTGTGAGGCACATCAATGTCAAAAAGTGGCCCAATTCATTTGAATTCATAATGGATATATATTCATAATGGTATGCATATTTATAAATGCCAATGCTAAACCTATAAGGGACCAATAATATATCCACATAATATATTCACATAATATATCCACATAAACAAATTATGGCTAAATATGATAAATATTTACAGGTCATTGG